GGGCAGGTCAGCACCACAGACACACACAAAGGCTCAGGAGCTCATCAGCACAGCGCTTTGCTCTTCATCAGGAAATATGATATTTGAAACGCAATGCAGGCGCTGACTTTGGAATTGCAGTTTACCTCTCCCTGTAATTTGTTAAAGTAGTTTACTGATTTTCAAAGGAGAGGCTCAGCTTCGATGTTCACCTCTTTGACGCACAGGAACCGAGATCAAAGGCTCGGGAAAAGTGTCTTTACTGAATTCTCATCGCATTGATCCACGCACGGCTAAATTCAGCAACGTGAATTATTCATGCCGGAAGAACATGCCCTGGAGGCCCAGTGACTGTTCTGCCTCCCCCTGTCTCCACACTGTGATCCAGCAGGACAGTTGTTTGGCCTCAGATCACTGATGAAATAAACAACCAATTAGGAGTGGCCACCGCAACGACTGGGAACCGCCGATCTCATATCTCAACTGGAGCTCAGCCTCTCACTGACATGTCCTTTAACGCTGCAGTGGGAACTACACTGGAAAAGTTGGTTATAATAATGCAAATTATACAGCTTCTCAGAATGTATTCATCAGCTCTACTTAACATAAATGCATGCCGTCTACAGTATCATTTATGTACTTCTCTTTTATCTTATATTTTTATGCACCTATTTGAAAATGTATCAGCACGTTATTTCCAAGAATAACTGCCATCTTTCACTCCCTGCCTGTCCTCTTGTGCGGCAATCTGCATAATGGCTAAAGCCATCTGGGGTATCTCTGTGCAAAAAATATAAAATGCAAAACTTTAAGCAAATTGCCACCGCCTATGAAGACAAGACAACTGTCACAGTGAACTGGAAACACTATCTGTTCTTAGCGTGTGTTGCCGGTTGTCAGATATGCTCATCGGCTTCAGCAACGCTTCTCATGGCCTTTCAAACATTATCACATAATGACGGCAATTACTGGGAGAGTCACACTGACACCCCCAAGTGATAAAAGCATAATGAAGAAGGAGGAATAAAAACAGTGTGAACTGGGTGTGCTGGCAATGACCTTACCCATCTTCCTTTGCACGGCTGTGACAGAAATGTAACCCCACAGTCCCGACATTGTGGCATTACGTGGATACTCATTTAAGTTGGTTGTCTGATTTGTAGCGCTTCTTCTTTGACAATAGGTGCAGTATGCTAGTGTGCGGGAGACAGACAGTGGGACTGTGTGTGTTTGAGCAGGGAGACTTTTTCACATGACAGCAATGAATTAAAAGAAAGAATCTGATAGGTTAGGTAAGACTTTGGATAAAATCCACACAAAGTTAAGAGCTTTTCCAGATGCACAAATACAGATTAGCTTTGAAAGAACATGCTGTTCTCTATACAAATAGGATTTTGAACAATGGAGAGAAATTGATTTGGATACAGGATTGAGGCCAGTTGAGATTTTTGGAACAATGAATTTTGAACATTTTATTTGTGATAGTGCATCGTACAACAACTCGATTTCTTCTTCTCTGTCTCAGTCTGCACCTGCAGCAGATCTTTCTTAAATGTAAATCATTCCTTAATGAACTCACACTTTTGGTTGCTGAACTGCACTAACTATACACTCATCGACCACCTTCGGTACACCCAGCTAGAAGTGAGTTGAAACTCTTTTGTCTTCAGAGCTGACTTAATTCTTCATGACATAGATTCAAACGGTTGCTAGAAACATCCCTCAGAGATTCTGGTCCATATTGACATGTTAGTATCACACAGTCGCTGCAGATTTGTCAGCTGCACATCCCAAACGTGCTCTACTGGACTGATGTCTGATGATTTGAGCACATTGAACTTTTTGTCATGTTAAGGATGCCAGTTTGAGATGATTTGAGCTTTGTGACATGACGCATTATTCTGCTGGAAGCATCCATCAGCAGATGATAAAATGATAAAAAAAAAACGATATTCACTTGGTGCTAAGGGTACCATAGAATATCAACCACACTGTATGACCACCACAAGCCTAAACCACTGATGGAAGGCAGGATGGATCCTTGTTTTTAGGTTGTTTACATCAAATTCTGACCCTACCTCTGAAATCGTAACTCATCAGACCAGGCAATGTTTTTCCAGTCTTCTATTGTCAAATTTTGGTGAGTCCATGCGAAACGTAGCCTCTTCTGCTGCTAAACAGGTTGTTGTGCATTCAGAAATGTGCCTCTGCATACTTTGTTTATAATGAGTGGTTACTTCAGTTACTGTTGCTCTCCTATCAGCCAGAAGTGATCTGGTCATTCTCCTCTGACATTAACAAGAGCTTTCACCTAGAGCCACTCACTGCTTTAAAGTAGTAGATGAGCAGTTTCTGAAATACTCAGACCAGCTCGTTTGGCACCAAAACCACATCACATTCAAACTCACTTAAACCTTTCTTCCCCATTCTGATGCTTTGATGATGGTTTGAAGTTCAGCAGGCCATCTTGACCAAGTCTACAAGCCCAAATTCATTGCGCTGTTACCCTGTGAATGGCTGATTAGCTATTTGCATTTAGAAGACAAACAGATGTACCTAACAAAGTGGTTATCTCTACCTCTTTTGTTGTATTTCATATATTTTCTTTGAGAAAAACATTCTTTTTCTGTGTCTTAGATGCTTTAATGGTCTCCATTAGCACTGCTCACATACATAACAGATGATGAAAAAGGATTTTTTAAAACATTATATAGTATAGTCTATAAAACAATAGAGTTACAACATCTGCAAGCAGGTTTATGGTTGTTTATATTGTAGCTGTTAACCTGTGAATATTTTTGTAAATTTATAATTACTTAAGTTCAAATTTAAGGTGAAATTTAAGTTCAAAGATTAGACAGATTGTTAAAATTTGTTACTTAAGTTTCATTTTGATGTTTCTTGGAATTCTGACCAGGGTTTTTTTCTATTTCTGTTAATCTGGTGTTTAGCATTAATCTCCCTTCCATGTATTCAAGCAGCCTCTGCAACATAACCTCTCATGAAATTAGTTCAGAGTGCATTGTTTTACCTCTTGGTCAGAAAGAGCTTCACTGTAAAATGTCAGAAGTAAACATCTGAACAGCTCATGGTAACCATGTTGGAATGCAAGCGGCCGAATCAGAAACAAGACAACTGCCAATCCATCTTTTTGTGCGTGTCCACACTGCTAAAACTTTAATAAATCACCCTGAATGTGGGAGAGCACTGTGGTGGCCTCCATGGGGAATGAAGACGCCTTACAAAGCAGTCTGTACCACACAGAGAGGGACGAAGGGGTGGAGGGCCTGCAGAAGGGTGGAGCGAAGGAATGGCTGAACACAAAGAACACAGAACAGAAAAGGCATGGCAGGATGGGGCTCAGGGATTGAATGCTGAAACGTGACAGTAGTAAAGAGGATTTAGACTGGGAGACAGAAAGAAAAGCAGGGCAGTGAACTCAGCGATGATGCAATTATCAAGCTCAGAGCAAGGAGGGAAAGAGAGAGGCAGGCAAATCGATAACAATGATTATTGGCCCATAAAAACATGCTTGGAATGCACTTTGTTTGTCACTTATCCAGGTGTAAAAGAAATCCCACAACTCTTGTGATTTAATATACATTTTAAAAGCAAACATGTAAAGTCATTTTTGCCAAAAAAAGATCCAGATCTTGGATTTCAGCTGCAGGAATTTTAAATCTGGCCACTCTCCCAGTCACTGCACTTTATCGTCCACAGCAGAAATGCACAAAAAAGGATATGCTGGTGTTACAGGAATGACTGGACAGGATATCCAGTTTCCCAGAGGAGTGGGAGAACACACACATTCTGTGTCACTGAGTCAGTGTGCTCACACGGAAGTAAGCGTTCGTCATAGACGACCTCACCGACCAGACAGAGGCCTGTAAAAATGCCTCTCTGCTTGAATCATGACGCCAAACAGAAGCAGGCGGTTGCTTGGCAATCCCCACACCCCTCCAGTAGCCGGCCAAGACGGCCAGCAGTCACACACTCACAGTCAGCTGGGGATCCTACAGTGAGTCCACAGGCGGACACAATTAGTATGACTAAAAAGAGAACAATTGCTGAAAACTGAGCCGTGCAAAGGAATTTCCGCAGAAATGGGAAAAAAACGGGATCAGTTAAATTCATGGAAAAACGTGTTTGGTTAACTAAAGTGCCAAACAGCCACTCGGCTCTGAATACTTCATGGGATGTACTAGCTCAAGTGACACTCTGTCACTGTGATAGCTGTCATCACGCTCCTCTATACCTGTCAGATGAGCATCTGGATATATTGTCTAACCACGTCCACACGGGAGAAGAAAAGCCACAATAATAAGTTAGAAGTGACAACATGAGCCAAAATTACCAATCATGTCTCTTAATAAACTTTTTTTCCCCCCTTGACAGACAGATCAGTCCTCGTGTTCGGCTAACTTCAATCCAAAGTAAATGTAGAAGTTTGTAAAGAGACAAATGTGTGGTTTGTCTTGTGGAAACTTTAAAGACTACTTGAAAACTGGCTGAGTTCCTGCCTAACTTCCCAAATACTGAGAAACAGTTTTGCTCAAAAGTGAACTATTTAACATGTGAGAAGTGTATTCAATAGCAATTATATTCCCAGATTTACTGTAAAGGAAAACATGTTTCCCCTTTATAAACCGCTATCAACGCGACTCATTGAATGAGTCAGACCTTTTGTGTAACTGATTACAATCTAGAGTATAATATGGAATAATTGCAGGTACTGTGTGTCTGTCCGTTACGATATGACATGTCTTTTAAACTTTTCAGTATCTTTGTGTCTGTGCATCTATGTAAATGCAAAGGAAAGAGCTTAAGGGAACAGCTTCCCTATTAGCAGCTTTTTATCAAGAAATAAATTTTGGTGGTGGGGGCTTCACCATTCACTCAAGGCCTTAAATTTCTTGCTGCTCCCCTGCAAACTACAACTGGACATATCCTAGCTTGAGATTATTTGAGCATATAAAATACCCGCACACAACTTTCACATTAATAGTGTTTACTTTACTCACTTTTTCCTGTACTCGTCCCTCTCCCGCTTGACTTTGGCCAGCACGTTATACAGAGCCCTCAGTTCTGGGGTAATTGTGTCAATTTGGACACCAACTCCGTCCGGATGCGTCCATGTCACCCCGGGCCCTTGCAGGGTCTCAAAGCGCTCCCCTTGCCTCCTGACGTGGGTGAAACTCCAGATGGTGCCCGGCAGTCTCGACTCGGGACCGTCCGTCTGCACGGCGACTTCACGGGTGTAAAGGTGGCGGTACTGCGGTCTCTGCAGAGCTTGCTGCAGCTGGCTTTCCAGCAGTTTGTTTCTCCTCTCTAACTCGTGCACTTTGGCGAGGAAGCAGCGGAAACGCAGGTTGAGGGTTTTCAGCACGTGGATGTTGGAGCCCAGGTCGTTTCGCAGGGCGCTGGTCACCGCGCCCGACCCGGTGGGAGCGCTGCAGACCGGACCGGACGGAGTATCGGAGAAAAACAGCGAGCTCATGTTGGTAAATAACAAAACTCCGTTCATCCACCTATGGCTCTGTCTGGTTTAAATAAAACAGCAACACTTGTGGTTTCTTTATCGCTGCATATTGCTTGAAAATCCCTCACTCCCTCGGGGTGAGTTTCTCTTTACAATGCAGATGCAGACAGTGATTCAGTGATTGAGCAACTGGAGAAGGGTTGACCATCACTATACCCGCTGCTGCTACTGGACGTTTAAACCCGAGATATTAACAAAGACCCCCTTCAGCGTGGCGTGGGTTCACACAACGAACCAGAAAAGTCCCTTAAGAGACACAGCGAGCATCATCTTCTGAAGGACCGAGAGGTTTGACGCAGACCGCAAGAATCTCCAGCAGCAGCAGCACTTCCCGTCACCCTCATGTCTCCGTCTGCCTTTGCTTTGTCAGGAGCTGCTGATGCTGTGCGAGTACATATAGCCAGCCGACAGAGGAGGAAAATGGTCCACCTTCTTTCTTTATCATGCCCAGTTTACCGCGGCTCTATCCGGTCTCCATGTGGCGCGGTGTGGCAGGATGCAGCGCCGCAAAGCCCGGCCTCTCCGCGGATCATGTTGCAAAGTGCTAAACTAGGCACTATCACCTCTAGGAGCCCCTCCCACCTCCCTACCCCCGTCTCTCTCTCACACACACACACTGACGAGAGGGATCGACGGGCTGAGGAAGGCTTAAGTCTAATTAATAGGATAAAGTGAACTATAACCTAATTTCTTTTCTTATGCGCTTTAAAGTCAGGCCTGGCGTTTTTGTGCGTTTATTAGAATAATGAATTGTTTCTTTTATTTAAACAAGTATCAATATGAAACCTTTACCACAATAATAAACGTGTATATTTTTTATAGGGACGCACAATGTGGCAGTTTCTGTCTGCACGGTATTACTGTATTACTCTGTATGTGATATGTTTGAGTTTTAGCGAAGTCACAGTCTGATTTGTTGTTGTTTTTTCAAATTCCATAGGCCTGCAGTATATTTCCAAAATATTGTATTGAAATAATAATAATTGTATAATATTGTATAAAAACACACACACAGGACCTGCATTTACAGCATCGGTGCAAAGAAGAGAAATAAGAGAGGGCTATTATGTCCTTATGAAGGAATCATTCGAACATTGTATGTTTTTTTTACGTTTATTTGCTTTCGTTTTGATTTCCTTTCTTCTTGTCTTGTCCTAACATGTCTTATGCCTTTTTGATGTTACCTCTTTATTATTATGTCATACAGTATACACCTATAGTCTGTAGGATTATCAGGATCATTATGTGAAAGGGTGATATCACAGTGGATAAATCTATGATTACATCATTTCCGAAGCTGACAAAATGCCCCTCGTGCCCAAACAACTCATAAAGGCCCAAACTTGAACAAGTGGAAATCTTTTGCAAAAAAACCCAAAGACAGACACGGTTATAAGAGCAAGTGGCTCAAGCAAGTATGCACCTTTGACCATTTTATACATTTGTCACATTCGGCTACTACACTTAAGTTGTTTTGCTCATGCGCCACCTAGCGGATTAATCCGTCCATTGTCCTTATTATCTTAGAATTATCTTAGAATTAACTTTGCATCTTCATCCAAGTCCAAAGACATTTTAGTTCAGAAATAAGTGATGCAAACAGACCAGGTTCCTCATTCATTTTCCTTCTATTGGCTTATTATTTTTGCTACAAAGTAAGCCATTTTAAATAACTTATCTTAAGTAAGTTGTGCTGCCAAATTTCATGTATTTCTAGAGGAGACGAATGTCTTGCTTATAAACTGCTATGAACACTGGTGTTAGATCTTTAGTAATTTATTTAATTCATGTATTCCATTATATACATTATTTATTCCAAAAGTTATTCAATAGCACATAACAAAATCGATGATAGATGAAGTTGCTGCAATAGGTCTAGGCTGCTGGGGATTCAGATGATGCACTGAATTTTCTTCTTCAGTCACGTTTTTCATTTACTATGCGTTTATACAGCTCTCTGTATTTAGTTATTATTAATTTCTGGCTCTCTTTCACTGCATGTTTCTGATCTGTCTTCATCTACTAACCCCTAACTGGTAGTGGCAGATGGTTGCCTCTCCTTGGTTGGTTCTCCTGCAGGTTTCTTCCTGTTCAAAGGGACCTTTTCCTCCCTGGGTTCACATATGATTGAGGGTGGCTCGATCCCTGGCTCCTCCAGTCTGCAAGATACTAACCCCAAGTTCACACGGAGTGTGAATGTAGTTAGCATAGAGACTTGTGAGATTGGGTGAATGTGGCATGTTATATAGAGCACTTTGAGGGAGAGTAGAAGAGCGCTATACAAGACTCAGTCCATTTACCATTGTGGGGTTTTTTTTTATCTGTTTTTCTTGTATTACTATAGGGTCGTTACCTTGCGATATAAAGCGACTTGAGGCAACTGCTGTTGTGATTTGATGCTGTATAAATAAAACGGAATTCAACGTAAATAAATAAATAAAATAGGTAATAATAAGTGGCTAGAATGGATGAAATAATAATAATGATGAAGATCGCAAGAGAACAGAAAAAAATATTTAAATGAAATAAAATAGTTAAATAAATAAAAATGTAATTATAAAATTATAAATAAATAATCACTGCGTGTATAACATGTTATCAAGCACCATCACTAGTGTGCCTAGTTTGATGCGAAATGTATTATTTAATCCATAGGTGTCAAACTCTGGCCCGCGGGCCAAATTACTATCAGAGCTGGCCTACTGGTATTATACAGCAAATATATATTATATATACTGTTTAGTATTAAGCTTGGCTTGTTCCATATTCAGTTTTTTAGCAAAATGTGTTTGAGTCCATAAGAAAAGATTCATTCTTATATCTGGAGGAATAAATATATTTCAATAAATATTAACGTTAGCCTGCGACTTTGTTCCAGTTTTGAATTTTGGCCCACTGTGTTTTTGAGTTTGACACCCCTGATTTAATCCATCCATCCTCTTCAGTTTATCCTATCAGGGGGGGGGCTGGTGTCTGGGTACACCCTGGACAGGTCACCAGTCTGTCGCTGGGCTAACACACGGACACAGACAACCATTCGCACCTAAAGGCAATTTATCGTTTCCAATTAACCTATACCCGCTAGCTGCATGTCTGGATTGCGGGAGGAATCCGGACTACCCGGAGAGAACCCAGGCAAACACGGGGAGGACATGCAAACGTACACACTGATGGTGGAATTGAACTCAGGACCTTCTTGCTGTAAAGCAACAGTGCTTACCACCGTGCTGCCCATATCATTTAATCTTACTGTGTAATTTATTTCAATTCAGTGTTATTTATATAGCAGCAAATCACAATATCTTAAGGTGACAAAATTATAGAAGTCAAGCCTTTATTTGTTATTAATACATATATAACGCTTTTTTTTATGTCAGGCAGTACACGGTCAGCCATGCTAAACAGAAACACTTGGGGTCCTTCTACTTCACGTGTGTGTGTCTGCTGCTGTGGCATCGTGAGGAGGAATCATGCCGAAATCAAAGAGAGATAAGAAGAGTGAGTAAAGCACAGTACATCTTTTTCAAGTGTAAAAGCATATGGGCGCCGGTGAAGTGTTTTAAGTGATGTTGTATTTGTAAAACTTCTTTTTCACTAGTGAAAGCTACCAAAAGTGAGCTAACTAAAGCTAGCGTTAGCTTAACTGCCTCAGCATGGTTGTACTCCTGGCTGCTCATTGATACATCCACGTGTATACGCAAACTGCTGGCTGACATTTGTTCATCGTGAGTTTCGCATTTCCCCCTCAGTTTCTTTAACGAAAACAGCCAAGAAGGGGCTGGAGTCAAAACAGAAGCTAATTCAGGAGGTGAGTATTTTCAGTGCTGCAGTCACCATCTTGTACGTGTTAAGTTCAGCTAGGCTAGGTCTGTTCCAAAACACCTGAAGTACCTAAACCTCATTTCTATTCTTTAGTTGCGGGAATGTGTGGACACCTACAGAAACCTGTTCATATTCTCGGTGGCTAATATGAGGAATAACAAGCTGAAAGACATCCGGACAGCGTGGAAACACAGCAGGTAATGACATCTCCAAAAGTTGATTCCGTTCATCTGGACGTAGCGTTTTCAGTGGGAGAAACGTTTCGTCACTCATCCAAGTGACTTCTTCAGTCTCAGCTGACTGCCGGTTTGCCCAGTCTTATAAACAGTACATTTGCATAATGACCGAAACCAGCCCACTGAAGGAACAATGGGGTGGGAGGTCAGTTCCTTCATCATGATTATGCAAATTCTCATGACCATTGATCAACAACTACTGATCAAAGCCCACTGATCAATAGCCATGAGTACCATTCACAGAGAGTTGGGGAATGGCTGCAATCACAGCATTGTACGATGGCGAAAGATATACCCCTAGGCCCCCTCCTCGATTCAGAGATGGTCTTTCCCTTTTCACGTCAGGTAATGACATCTTAGGGTTCTGATTTCAAGGCTCAGTCCTAGTACTGCACTAAGGTACGTGTGTGTGTATCAAGGATCGGGTTGCACTTGGTTTTCTCGGTGGCATTGCCACCTCTACTTATGTTGGAGCCCTTCGAGAAAGAAATTATTACATGGACAACCCCAATTTGTAAGATATTGGGATGCTGTGTAAAATATAGATATGACGTGTAAATCACCTAAACCCATATCCACAATAGAACTTAGAAAACGTATCAAATTTTTTGAACTGAAAAAAGGTAAAAATCTAGCTTAGTTTGAATTTGATAGCAGCAAAATATGGACGCCCTGTTTTCCAGACTAAAGAACTTGTTATCAGAACTTGGGTAATAACCTGGATCAGTGTCTACACGTTTGGAAAGTACTCAGAGGTATATACAGTGGGGCAAAAAAGTATTTAGTCAGCCACCGATTGTGCAAGTTCCCCCACTTAAAATGATGACAGAGGTCAGTAATTTGCACCAGAGGTACACTTCAACTGTGAGAGACAGAATGTGAAAAAAAAATCCATGAATCCACATGGTAGGATTTGTAAAGAATTTATTCGTAAATTAGGGTGGAAAATAAGTATTTGGTCACCTCAAACAAGGAAAATCTCTGGCTCTCACAGACCTGTAACGTCTTCTGTAAGAAGCTTTTCTGTCCCCCACTCGTTACCTGTATGAATGGCACCTGTTTGAACTCATCATCTGTATAAAAGACACCTGTCCACAGCCTCAAACAGTCAGACTCCAAACTCCGCCATGGCCAAGACCAAAGAGCTTTCGAAGGACACCAGGAAAAGTATTGTAGACCTGCACCAGACTGGGAAGAGTGAATCTACAATAGGCAAGCAGCTTGGTGTGAAAAAATCAACTGTGGGAGCAATCATCAGAAAATGGAAGACATACAAGACCACTGATAATCTCCCTCGATCTGGGGCTCCACGCAAGATCTCATCCCGTGGGGTCAAAATGATCATGAGAACGGTGAGCAAAGATCCCAGAACCACACGGGGGGACCTGGTGAATGACCTGCAGAGAGCTGGGACCAAAGTAACAAAGGTCACCATCAGTAACACACTACAACGGCAGGGAATCAAATCCCGCAGTGCCAGACGTGTTCCGCTGCTGAAGCCAGTGCATGTCCAGGCCCGTCTGAAGTTTGCCAGAGAGCACAT